GGCGCCGCATCTCCTCTCGGGGCGGGGGGGGAGAGTTAGGGCTGCTCCGCCAGCGTGACACCCCGCGCCCTGCCACCTCTCGGGTGCTCTCAGCCCGGCGGGGTTACCTTGATCAAACCCGGGGCGTCCGGGAGAGATGCCCCGCTTGGGAAAGGTTTCGTCCCGGTGGGAGAACGGGTAGTCCTCCTCCTCCTCCTCCGAACTTATTTATTCCCCCCTTCGCTCCTTCGCACTCCCCGCACCGCGCGGTGCGGAAAACAAAGCGGAGGGCAGTTGCATTATGCAAAGCTGGGACGCGCCGGGCTCTCGCAGACGGGACAGGGGAGCGAGTCCCCGGTTCCAGCCTTGTCCGTATTTTCGCGATTACCTTTGGGTCCGGGGATGATTTTAGGGCTGAGTTCTCCTCCTCCCATTGGCTGGGGCTGCAGAATAATTATGATCACATCCTAATACTCTTGGCTGGTGCTTACTGTTTATTGGTAGTTAAGGATCTATTATCTATTCATCAGCCTCCCATTTTTGCCAATTACATTCTTCTAAAGTGAAGTACCAGCAGGTATTTTGCACATTTACAATTAATGATAAAAAATCTGGCGTACTTTAAATCTATTACGCCGCTGTGTAATTTATCTTAAAGATGCGGAATTGCTAATGTAAATTAATGTTTCTGTTGAACCAAGGCATGGGGGGAGTCTTAAAACCAGTCTAGCGTTTCTTTCCTTCGTTCCCGGACTTTGTTTTCTATTTTCTTCCCACTTTATACACAAAGAATCCGTTACTCCGCTGCACTAAAATATGCTAAAAAATCGCTGTCTAAACGGTCCCGCTTCTTTCCAGTAAAGGGCGAGCTGAACTCTCTTCGCCTTCCCCGCTCTCTCCTAAAAGCGCCTGTTTGCAGCTAGCCGATATTTTTAACACAATACCAAAACGGCGGGCTAAATAGAAGTGACAAAACAGCGCTGGGCACGCAAGGATGCCGGTGTTCGTGCGCCTTTGTGTTTTCCTTTGTGTACCCCGCGCTGTCTGCACTTTGTGGAGGGAGAAGTTCACTTTCCGCATGAAATGTAAATCTGTTCTCCAGGCGTTGGGCGGCTGTACGTATAGGCACCCATATCCACACGTGCATACGACTGCAGAGACAAAGTGAGCGAGATGGTTGTGCGGCGTAACTCAAGTCTCCTGACAGATTTTGCAGCGAGGTGCCATTCTCCCAGGTCTCACACGTTCGGGAAAACCTCTCCTGCTCGCAGACACCCGGGCAGACAGGGGCGCAGGGCTCCGGCCCCGCTGCGCTGAGCTTGCTGCGGAGGGGAGAGATGGATTTCCCTCCAGCCCCACTCGTGTCCCTCGTGAATGGCTAGTATTTTAACTTTTTATTTCCCCTCTCCCCCTTTTCCCCCTCAACCGGCGGTAACGCTCCTCTCGCAGAGATCTGGGGTTATTGACGTGAGCGAGGCTGAGAAAGAGCCTTAAATACGACGGGTGTTCGATGTGCTGATTTCGACTGGGGTCTTGGTTCCTGACCACCGAAAAGGAAAAAAAGAGAAATTTCTCCGTCTCCTAGGAAGAGCCGTGTTCTGCATCTGCGTATTTACACTTCCTCGGGACGGCAGAATGAATCTGAATTGGAAAAACTTCAACTCCTTTTTTCCTTTTTTTTTTTTTTCCAGACATCCTGACATAATCACAGGGCTCCTTTGAAAACTGCATCAAGTAATTCAGCAGTTGGGGAGGAATTATATCCGTGTGAAAAACCGTCAGACACGCAGAGCGGGGATAACCCTCCAAAACGCTCTATAAATTTCCCTCGACCCTCTTTACCGCCGGGGAAATATCCTCTAGCCTAAAATCCCTTCCCGAGGGGGGGTCCCGTCGCTCTGGGGCTCGGCGGAGGGGGCTGCAGCTGCAGCGGGGAGCTCTCCCCCTGCCAAGCCCGATTCCGCCCGGGAAAGCCGGTCGGTGATCTCGGCCGCAGCAACCTGGAGGTCCCCGCGCCGCACCGAGCCCTGCTCGCTTTCTGTGCCTGCATGCATACATATACATATCTATGTGTATAGATATATGCGTGTGCGCGTGGATATATACAGGCAGAGAAACCGCAAGTCGAGTCTGGGGAGCACCGTCTCTCTCTGGGATTTGTCATAGAGAAAATAGGCCAGGGACAGTCAGAACAAAAACCAAGGGGACTCGGGATGGGATTTCCCAGGATTTTCCGCTTCCCCCTAAATTTCTGTATCACTCGCCCACTGGTCGCCGTGGCCGTTTCTC